TGTAAATTTTTCCAAACATTTAAAGAAAAATTAATGTCAATACTTATTCATTTTCTAAAAAAAAAATAGAAGGGGGCATAATTTATTTCATTTTGAGATGCCAGCCATACCTTGATACAAAATCTACATAAAGATATCAAAAAAGAAAATTATAGGTGAAAATTCCTAATAAATATAGAAGCAGAAATTCTCAACAAAATACTAGCAAACCAAATCCAATACAATTTGTAGACATATGATTATGTTTAGCTTGTATGACCCAGGAGTTCCATTTCTAGGTATGTATGCACCCTCAAAGTAAAAGAACAGAAACTCAAGCAGACACTTGTACATCGGTGCTCATTACACTATGATTCACAACAGCCTAAAGGTAGTAACAACTCCAGTGTTCATTAACAGACAAGTGAATAAACAAAATATGATTATACTGGGGTGCCAAATAATGTATACACATTTTAAGACATGTTCGCCGCGGTCAGAAGTGTCTGGATGCTGATGGTAACCACTTTAAGCACCTCTTATAATTGCAGAAGTCAAATGTGACATATTCATCTTATTGAGTATTACAATTTTAAAACAGATTTTTCCTTTCTTAAAATGTGTATACGTTTTTTGGCACCTTCTATATTGTAAATATCGTATGTTTCCACAAGATAAGAAATATCTAGATTACGTAAATTCATAGAGATACAAAATAAAATGAAGTTATAGTGCTGAGGACTGAGGGGAATTGAAATTTATCACTTAGTAGTTACAGACTCTGCTCAGAGTGGTAAGGAAAAAAAGGAAATTAATAGTTGTAATGATTATAAAGTATTGTGAATATAATTAATGCCACTGTATTGTACACTAATTGTTAGAATGACTGATGTGGCTAAAATGAAGCATCAGTGTAGACCTAGTGATGAAGATTATATTTAAACTAAGACCTGAAGTTGGGGAAGAAGTGCTTTGCAGATCTCCGAGAAACCATTTTCAGCAGAGGAAAAGGTGGTACAAATAGCCTGAGGCAGGCATATGCCTGGATGTTTGAGGAGCAGTGAGAAACCAGTGGCCAGAATGGATTGAGATAGGTGGGTCATAGAAGGTGCTATCAGAGGGAAGAGTTGTTGTAGGACATAACGGCTTTGACTCTTATTCTGAGAAAAGTGGCTGAGTCCTGGAGTATTGAGAGAAGAGGAATGACATCTACCTTATTCTTATTTTAAGAGAATCACTCAGGCGTGCTTAGAATAGACTAAATTGGGGAAGTTCAGTTCAAACAAGAAGACCTATTAGAAGGAGAGCAGTCAGGAGACTCATGTAATAATTCAGAGAAAATTGATGATACTTAGACCAAACTAACAAAATAAATTATGGAAATATGTTGGGATTGGGTGAATTTTGCAGTAAGAAAAAGATGTTCCACAAGTATGAAAAAGAAGAGATAAAGATTACTTCAAATTTTCTGGCCTGAATAACTGACAGAGGTCCCATTAACTGAGAGTTAGAAGATTACTACATGCAGCAGGGGGTGTGTGTGTGTGTATGTGTGTGTGTGTGTGTGTGTGTGTGTGTGTGTGTGTTTCTAAGGAGAAGATTACAAGTTCTGTTGAACATGTTAATTTTGAGTCCTCCCTGAAATATTCAGGTGCAGTTGTTGAATAAGGATTTGGGTCAAAAGTTCTGGAGTTCAGGGGAGAGGTCCAGACTGGAATATGAATTTGAGTACATAAAGAAAGTGTTTAAAACTGTGATATTTCATGAGTGTCCCAAGAAAGTAAGTATAGATAAGAGAGGAAAAGAAATCTAGGAAGTGCGCCTGGGAACTGCCAAAACATTCGATTAAGCTATAATTAAAAGAGAAATTGACAGAGAAGCCTGAGAAGAAACAACCAGAAATTGAGAGGAAATCAAAAGATTGTGGTTTCCAGGAAGTGAGAATAAGAAAATGTTTCCAGGAAGAGGGAGTAGTCAACTATATGTCTGTAAATTTAGAGGTTTGATGCTCCACCAGCAAGGCCAAACTGCCAGTTATATTCACTGAAGTATGTTTTTGTGTGTGTGTATGAATTGAATGGTGAATAAATTTAATGGTACTTTAAGTCATTTTATGATTTTTTCCTGCAATAAACAAGTGTGCATCACATATATAAAATAATTTATAATCAATCGGTTAAGTGAACATTCAATTAAGAGAAAATATATACAATGTCACTAAATATTAAAATTATGGAGTTGGGTAATTTTACTTAGATCACCTAATATTATGTTGTAGGAAACCTTGACTGTGTTAGAGTTCCATGGTAAACATTTTTATTATTGTTTTTTCAGTATTACTATTCAGAATTATGTCAATGATAACAAAACCAATGATGAACTTGGAGGGAACAAAAAGAAAACTTAACCTCTTCTTAGGACAGGAAAACCACAAAGGTACATGATAAAAGGAGTCTGAATTTGCATGGCACTGTAATATGATTTGAAAAATCACTACAGTCCAGCACGTTTGCAAATATGTGGATTTTAGATATGTAGCATTAAATGAGTCCAATAATAATTGTGTTGTCCATACACCAATAAAAACACAACCGTAGGGCATTAAAAAGGAAAATAAGAATAAAAAGATTTTATTCAAAAGTAAGATAGTTTACTAAAAACCTCAAGAATAATGTGATAGGTTAAGATAACAAAAATATGTACAGAACTCATTTCAATATGATGTATTACTTAAGAATTCTAAGAAATAAAAAAATGAAAGTTGAAAATATAACCTTTATTTTATGTTTAAAAGTAGATGGTGGTGGCATCAAGATAATAGAAAATTGAAATAATTGGAATACTCACTAAATTATTCTTTCATTAAACTGAATATACATGAAGTGTCATGATTACTGATGCATGATAATAATTATATTTCTTGTATTTTAGCAGAATAATACTCTGTAACAGTATTTTAGTGCTAAAAATTAATTTTTTTAATAGTGCAAACTCTGGTAAAGTCTACTAAAATTTAGACTGGCAGTTGTAAACAAGGAAGAACAGTATATAAAGAACTCATTATGTGATAACTGTGCCTTTAAGAACACTGGAAGAATTCACAGTACTTTCTCTTAAAAGAACCAATAAAGGAGCTTCCTGCAGGAAGGGAAGAAAAGTTCTACCCGCAAAAAAGTAGAACAATAAAGCGTTTCTAGACTCCTAACACCATTCTTCCTTTCCATAGTTTGGTTTGCCCTCATACTAAGTGATACTCTGGCATTCACACTAGAATTGAGATCAACAAGGCATTCCTTCATCCCTTACTGCCAAAACTCCTCACTACTAATAATTAACCATCCCTGAATTCTATCCAACAGCTTAATAAATACTGGAACAACTCTGGGCCTCAGCTGCATTTCTAGCTTTAACTACAGAATGGGAATGATAGATTTAAACTGAGATTTGCTGAATAGCATCAGTGCAGCAAAATAACTACTCAATTGTCTATTAATGAATGAACATTATTTAAAGATATATTTTATGTTAGAATATGTGTAGAAATGCTCATTCAAATAGGTCACATTCAGCTTTATAGTTTATTTCTATACCTGTCTCAGAAAATTGTCACTATTTAGAATTATAATATTTGACCAGCAATCCCTTCGGGTCCCCTCCAACAGCTTCTCTGTCCTCTCAATAAATCCTGCTTTCAAAAAAAATTTTTGACACTTGCTCTAAAAATTATTATTCCTATACGTTTCATATGTGTTTTATATAAATGATTTTTATTTCTAGATAAATGATGATTCTTAATATTCAACATTTACACAATAAAGCAATATGGATAATATTTGAGGATTAGTCATTATGAATGTATTATTTTAGTTACTTGATGAGTAAATTATTCAGTTTGATGTATATTATTACTCTTAAAATTTCACAGAACATATAAATGAATGCCTTCATAAAAGTAGATGTTGCTATACTTATTAGAGAAAATATGGTAAGAATGAGAAAGGGAGTACCTTTTCCAAACTTCCAGTTTGTTCATAGAGAGAATATTTCTACTCTGTTCTTAATGGGAAGGAAATATATGATAGTAGCTATTTATTTTCATTTCTCTCACTCTTTATTCTTCAGGGCAGAGATATAATGACTTATCTGATTGGTTCAAAATGGAAGAAGAGACTGTGCAGGCATAGACCGATTCTAATTTTTGTTTGTCGGTGTGGCCTCTTTTCAGAATTCATTCCCATCTGTGTCTGGGGGCAAGCTTTACCCTGTAAGGGAAGAGAGAGTGGTGCTACAGTGTGCCTCAGACTAAAGGCAAGGAGGGCTTATCTGGGATGAAGGGTTAGGATATACTATCCAGTAGGTGGTACAAGCAGATAACTTTACCTCCATTCCTGTGACCCTTGAGTCTTGTTTTACAACCCTTCAAAAATCTCTCAAGGAGTCAGGCCTACCTATGTAGCCTAAAACTCCAACACAAGTGAACGCTAATGCAGTTGCTCTGCGGTGAATGGAAACACATGACGTATATTTGAGTGTGTCTTCTTATCCTAGGCAGTTTTCTGTGCCTATTTTAATAATCTGAAAGACATACAGTTACATTTTTGGCTCTGGTTTTAAGGTCATAATTTCAGAATGATCTTCTGTCTTGTTCAACAACAAAATAAATGAGAACTTGTTTCATTAAATTCTATTAAATAAACAAAGAATCAAAAAGATAACCTCACTAACTAGTCAGTGCTATCTGCCCAATTTCTGACTTGGGATTTCGCTTTGATGAAAACAGATATGAATCCTGACTACAAAATGAACCAACTTTCTTTATGAAGTTCCCTAAAATATTTTTTGTAGACCATTAGGGTAACTGAACTCTTAACTTGGAACCACATTTTCAGAGCATAGGAATTTAGCCCCAATAAAATCTTCCTTATTTTATAAATAAGTTAAGTGTTATTAACGTATATTTACCCAACAATTAGAGAATAAATATCCACTTTGAATACTGACCAAGAATTAACACACTACAATCAGGAATTCAGAACATTTATTGCAAGAGCTGAATAATTGTAAATAACGTAGAACTGGCAAAGCAGTAACAAGGATAATTGTTTAGATATTTATTCTGTCAAAGTCATCAAACACCCCTCACAAACCGACAAAAATGTACTTCAATAAGCAATGCACCCCTACCCATTATTTTCCATTATATTGTGGAAAAATGTGAACTGCTATTTACAAAGTAAATTTATTTTTTGGTAAGAACAAATTAACTATCAGATTAGCAAACCTTTTTTTGTTTTTTTTTATGTTTTGTTTTTTTTTTTACTTTTAAACTGATGGTGAACCGTGGCATTAAGATAACTTTCACTTCTTTCAATAAAGACATTTTGTTGCATGCTATTTATTTGTTTAAATCATCTGTCATGCCTTAACAAAAACCTCCTAAGAATGTTCGAATTTGCATTTGTTTGCACGTGCAACTGAGATCTTATTAACATTAGCTGTCACCTTGTTGGTTTGACATAAGTGACAATATGCTGGTACCTGCCAGGCATTGACCAACTATGATAACAAACAGTTAAACAGCAATAATTAGAGATTTATCCCTTTATTTCCCCCAACTACCCTACCTGGAGAATGTTCTGTTACATCATGAAGGCACAACACATTAAATATTTTGTGGCTATGGTCTAATAACACTTGTGTTACAACAACATTATTGTATATGAGGATCAACACAAACTCTGTCATTTCAACAAAGTTGTAGGACACACATTTGCCCAATTGAAACTATTAAATAGTAATTTTTCTTCCATATATGCTAATTTTGACACATTAGTTTTGCATGAGTGACAAGTACAGGATATTATATTACTTTTGATGGATAACATTTTCCCAGTATTATCTCACTTAATGATACTAATTAAGTGATTTTGCTTTTGCTTACTTTGAAAATAAGAATGTCAAAAAAAAATAGGTTCTGAATGTTCAAGCTTTTGCAGAAGTCCTTTTTTTGTATAAATTTTCAGTTTTTTCTCTCATCTTTATTTTTTACAGAATTCCAGCATCATAGCTATCACACAAGAAGCAAGATTTCAGAACCTTTTTTAAAAACACAAGTGTTTGAGTTCTTTTGAACATTGTGTGTCAAGACAGACTACTAACGCAGAAACACCTCACTAAAAGAAATAACAACAACAACAACAAAAAGAACAAAGAGGTAAATAAAAAGAAGGAGAGAAGCAACCATAAAACACAGAATTTTGCTACAAGATTTTTAGGTGAACGTTATAAGTACACAAAAGTTGTTAATAATAACTTGCTTCTATTTACAAATACTTTAACACTGATTGACTTACAAGTGTCCACTAACGTTGTTAACAGCACAATAGGTTTAATGCTTATCTTTTTAAGTTTTGTTTGAAGTATAATGTCAAGTATAGCGGTCCCAGCACAAATCAATGACAAAAAGAGCACAATTTTCTAACTGGATATGTTTATCAGTCACTCTAATCCATGAAACTTTCTTACTCTCCAAATGCATATTCTATTGTTCATAGCAGCAGTCCAGGGTCAAAATAAAATGCAATAATTAAAAAAAATTGCACAATGGAGAGAGCTCTAAAGAGTTTAATCAATTCTAGACATGGCTAGAAGAACTGTTTTCTCTCTCATGTTGCAAAACATTGTGTCCTCCATGGTGCTAACACAAAGTTATGGGTATCCCTGCTAGAAGGGGCATAGTTGTAAAGATCTATTGAATACATAAAGCTCTGACACACACGGTATTAGCATGTCTATTTAGATTAAAGTTATTAGGTCCCATACAGCCTTTTCTTAGAGTTGGTGCTCCTTAGGACTCTCAATAGCGCCTCCTGCTTGCTTATAAGACTTCAGATTTGCCAGAGGAATGTCTGTCATGTGGCTGCCATTGTTAAAATGGCCTTCGTTGGAGCCATACTGCTTACGGTCATTGAACTGGTTCCTGTTGCTGTCTTCTTTCCAGGCTCTGGTCAGGGTGTGACCATTCACAAGCTTGTCCTTCTTGACCCATTCTTTCTGGGATGCAAAGGTTGAGAGAGGAGATTTTGGGTGTGGATATGGACCCAAGCCAGGAGGCATCCAACAATTATCAGAATGACCCAAAACCAAGCATTCTTGAGTGCACATTTCTGTAGCTTCAGCTAATCCTCGGGGACCCAGAGGCCCATCTGTAGAGGACACAAATGAGAGAAAGAAGGAAAAGAAAATGGTTAAAATTTCAATTAAAATTATCTTCTTAGAGAAGAAAATGCATTAGTGATCTAATTTTTTCATTAAAAGCATATTAAGTCAAGCAAATTTCCACTTTTTAAAGATTATAAGAAAAGAAATCGAATTTCTTATGGAGGTAAGATTTAATCTCTTTCCTTTCTTAAGCATGTATTTATACCCAAAAGCATGCTAGAGAGATAGATATAGAAAAATAGATAGATAGACAAAAAGATAAGGTTAAATAGATATAACCTTGGTGTATCATTTTTGTGAAATTCTTCAAAGGCATACATATTGTTACTAATTTATGTTTTAAGAATTGTCAAAGCTCATATTTATAATAAAATCATGAAAAATAGATCAACTTCATGTGTAATATCAAAGAAGATGTAAATGCTACAATGCCACAAAAATAAAAAGCAAAAGTATTACTGGACCTAAAAATACTCTAAATGGCTATATAAGATATTATTTTTATGTGCAAGCATTTGATTTTTTTCTAACTAAATCATATGAAAATATTTTTGCCACATTTTAAAAAATTAAATATTCATTTTAAAGAATAGTTTGACTAAAGTATCTTACTAAAGACACTCCTGGTCATTGTAAGCATTCTGATATCCAAGTAAGTCAAGAAGTCATTTGCGTCCAAAGACAGTGTTAGATTCTTTCAAGTTTAACTATTTTCTAAATTTCAAAGGTATAAAATTGAGGCAAAATTACAAATTAATCACATGGACTCTAATATTCAGGGATAAGAAAGTCATCCCAGAGCTTGTTTTTTATTTTTTCATCAGAAAGCAATATGGAACATGCATTTTTCTTTCACCAGGATTTCAAAAGTAGACTTTTTTCGGATTATGTAAAGTAGAAATCAGCACTTTACTGTGGAACAACATAAACCAACTGGTTAAGAAATACATAGGAGTTTTTTGTTGTTTTTTTTTCCCTTCCTTGATTAAAGAGCTAAGTGATAAGTGATAGCCTGGAAATTAGGAATTGATTTTATGAATAAGGTTAAGTAAATAGGCAAGAAAGCCTGAGGCATAAAGCATTTTCAAAAGCAAGGAGTCATCAGAAAAAAAAAAACAGAAGAAAATGAAGAAAACATACCTGCAAGTTTGCTTAGTCAACCATTTCAATAAATAATGGAAATTGCCGGTCTTTGCTAAAATCCTACTTAGCACAACTAATATTTTTAAATGCCCAACAATTGTGGACTTTTTATATTCAAATCTATTTGCCTTAATAATACTCTATTTACTTTTTGCATGTGAAAAAATACCTGCTGAGACAGGCAGCGGTTGATGACAAAGACCTGAAATAGTAAAATCACAGGCAACATCACAATAGACACTGAATGAGGCTGCAGTGCACCATTTCACACAAAACTCAAATTTCAGTCATTTTTTAATCTCTAAAAGTCTGCTCTTTAGAATAACCTTAAATTCCATCCCGTCTCACTGTATTCCCAGCCACTCAAAAGCAAACAGTTTTATTTTGTTTAAACACGTATTCATTACTTAAAACTATTTCTCTCAGAAACCTTCAATGCTTACTTACTTCCTTTGATATTTAATTTAAACTTCTCCATGAGTCTTACTTTGCCCTCTATAATCTGGCTACATTTTAAAAGTTCAAACTAATTTCTCACTTTTAGATTCCCTTTAGTGTATTCAGTGGCGGCATTCACAAAGCTAACACACTTTTCTTAAACTAATCTATGCTCCTTGCCTTAGGATCACAGACTTAGAAGATGTTTTTGCCTGGCCTGTTTTTATTTAATTACTATCTCCTTTAAGGGTCAACTTGTGTCCCACACACCACAAGTACACTTCTGTTACTATACCAATTCATGTCATATGCACTTTGAAGATTTCACAGATCTTCCTTTATTGATGAAGAACAAATTTCCTAATTGAGGTCCCTCAACTCTTACCTTAATGCCATTTTTCGAATAGCTTCCACACATCTGCAGATTTTTTGTTTGTTTTTTTGTTTTCTATCAACTACATTGAGAAGTCATTGATGAGGAAATAAATGTCCTATCAGTCATCTGATTCCCTTACAGTGCTAAACAATGGTGATGACCCATGAACAATGTTAATTGTTAATTAAAATGTTATAAGGTTGAAAATGTTCTGAAAATTATTAAAGATATTTCCTGCTTAAAGGCAAACCTTAAGTAGTTATAACAGAAGATGTTAATTTCACAAACTGTACATCAAAAGTTTCTCAACAGCAAATTTCCTTACCTAGCAATACTTTGTGACACTATACAAATGAATTATTTAACTTCTCTGTTAAATATATTCACATCAAATAAAGTAGTTAATCACCAGTCTGACATGTAACATGCTTTGAAGCCTATGAGCCTTAATCTTTAGACCTTTCTAGCATCTTCAGTAAGTTTTTCTTTTTTTGTTAATATCTCCAAAGGAAAAAGTATCAGCTACCTCAGAAATGTCATTAGAATCAGGTTTTTATTGAGCTCATCAAAAAAGAGAAAATATACTAGGTTTTTTTAAAATTAGCTTTATCCAGCATTATCTACCATCTTATTAAATTAAGACATATTGCCCAGGATTGAGAATGAGGTGTGTGTACATATAAGGATATGTGAACCTTAGGTTTTCAGCATTGAATGACACATTTTAACAAATAGAGTTTTTTTCCCTTGTTTCAGAACTGTCAAAATTTATTTATTCCACAAAAATTTACCAAGCATGTACTATGTGGTGGCACTGTGATGGGCACCAGGAATTTAGCTGTATGGAAAAAAAAGATGTCAACACTGCCTTTGCGTGGCTGTGACCTATCCTGGAACACACATAATTGCCTTAAGACCAGTAAAATGAGAGGGAAGTAAAAGGTGTCATTGGGAAGGATACATTTCTCCTACTTTTTCATATATTCTATATTGTTTTATTTTTGCTACCTCATAACTAAACTGGAGGCAGTTAACTGGTTTAGAGAAGTTTTTCTCTTTATAAGGTAACAGACAGACTCCGTTACAAGTTATATCATTTCTTCCATTTCCTTAAAGTTTTTTTAAATAGGTAATCAAAATTAAGAAATTTACAGTTAAAATTTTGTGTACTATAAAAAATCTTTAACTTACAAAACATGGGTTTCTTTTTATTAAATAATATTAATTATTGTTTGAGGATTGGGCTTTCCAGGATTTATTCTTGTAAAATAAATTTGAAGGATCTTAATAGTCTGTAAATAAATTTATAGAAGTCTTGTAGGTTCTTAGATTAGTCTTTTAGGTAACCAATTGTAAACATTTTCAAGATCCATCCTCAGCCTGGACATACACAATGACACTTGGATAAATGAGGGGTGGAATTTTTTTAACGTATAACTCCAAAGTAGAGGAGCCTGCCAGGCAGAGCAATGCTAGGTGCTGCATCAGGGATCAAGGTCACAGCAAGCTGGAGCTCTGGGGTGCAGTTTATGTACAAAAAGCAGGTGGGGCTAGCGAGGTTTCTAGGGCCCTCTGGGGACTGGCTTATTTAAATCATTTCTCAGGCACTCCGGGAGCAATCTCAAATGATCCTGTATCTGGTTTCTGGTGAGGGATGATGCTTAGTGACCCAGAAGTGTGGCAGTGCTAGAAGCGAAGTGGTGGGGTACAGATTTAGCTGCTCAAAAAGGGGAATCAACTGTTCTCCAGCCTCAAAACGTAATCAAGACATTTAAAAAATCAGCATATATACCCCAATTTGCTTGTGTGCTTTATAGTGTGAGCTGCATTGTTGGAAAACATAATTTGCTTTATGCTTTTAGTAAGCTCTTATTTTGGAACATGATATTAAATAGGGAAAAGTTTACTTTTTTTCTTTGGACCTCTATATAACTTTCAACAGTGGTGATATTAAAGGAAAATACCCAACAAAACGAAAAGCACAATGACTTTATATTGGCACAAGATAGGAAGCACAATGCTTTCATGTTTTCCTCTAAAAGTCAGTGTCATGGATCTTTTAATTTGCTGATGAATTATTAAAGGATACACATTTATTCTACTGGTTCCCAGTCCCTGCTTTATACATGTTTATAATCTGACATAGGTTAATCATTGACTAGTTTCTAGTACATTTATTTCATTTTGAGAACCACTGAGTAAATTTTTTATAGTTTTACAAAGAAGAAAAATATTCTTTAAAAAATACTAATATTGAGTGTTGACATTTTCCAAAACATATAAAATATATAGTATTGTAAATGTCTGCTAATACAGCAAACTTATATGCATTAAACTATGTCTCTATCTTTGATGCATATTTTTATTATTACCATAAGTATCTTAATTGATGAATAGTTATATTCATTTTTCATTCATATAGTTTCCCAACAAATGTTTATTGCATCACATGTATCACTGTGCTGAATTCTTATCAGATGTCTTGAGATTTTGTTCATGTGTGGATGTGGATGTGTTTTTGCATGGGAAATCATGGGCGTGTGTGTTTTTCTATTTTTCTTATTTTTTCATATATTCTGTAATGTATTTGTGCTATGTTATAAAATACTGTTTATAAGTCTAATCAGAATTCCAAGTTGCTTATAAATACTTTCTGTAATTTAGTCATTCCGCTATTTTTTCCTTTCTTTTAAAAGTAATTAAAATCCTCTATCTTAATTTTTTAACACCAAAACATTTATTAATTTTTAAAACTCATATTCTTTGCTCCTTTTCACAATCTTCAGTCTAGAAGTTTAGTTATCCTTCTTGGTTTTTGAATGTATAAAAGTGCTAATAAAACTGTACAAGCCATCTGTCTCTGCATTTACATTTTGAAAGCAAAACAAAAGCACATAGAAAGTTGTCTTAGTTAATATTTATATCAGGCCTCCAAATATTTATTTCCTTCTTCGTCTTCACACAACTCACCTTCTCACTCAAAAACAAATACTTTCCAAAGGCTTAACAGTTGTCAGAAAGCACCCT